AAATAGTGTAGAAGGATTTTCTAAGCTTATAAGCAAAAGGAGACACGATGAAGGAAAACATTGACACACATGACTACCTAGGGTTAGAAACTACACCTTCTCCATGCACATCTACATACATACACATACACACGTGTATATACACATACACACAACTGTTTAAGAAATGAAGAGGCACAGTGAACACTCAGAAAAATATTTTCAGTCATGTTTCAGGCCAAGAATTAGGCTTCTCCTGGAGCCTATCTTTTTGATGGAGATTTTATTACCTTACATATACAACATTACTATGTTTTAATGCACGAGGATGCAAATACCATTAATTCCGAAATTGTTCCTGGAAGATAGATTTTCTAAGGAGATCTCCCAAAGATGTCCAAACTTTAATTCTGGGAATCTTCACATGTCAGGAGGAAGAGTATGTGGGTGAACTTAATCTAATCACATGAACCTTTAAAAGCAGATTATTGTTTTAAGCTGGTAGAAGAAGTTTGAGAGATTCAAAGCATGAAAAGGATGCAAACTATTGGTATTGTCTTGAAGGTAGACAGGACCACATGGAAAGTATGAGAAGATGAATTCTGTCAACAACCAGCAAGGCTGAAGAGGTCCTCCAGACCCTGATAAGAACAGCAGTCCTGGTGGATACCTTTATTGGTGTTGTGAGGCTTTAAATAGAAAAACCACCAGAGACCTTGAAAACTTGAGATCATAAATGGATGTTTTTTTTTTTTTTTGAGAGTTTTTTTTCACTATAGGGCATGTGCGCTCGCCAGACAGACAGAGAGAGAGAGACATAGAAACAGAAAGCGAGAAATCACTCCCCAGGGGGGATGGTCACACCGCAATCCCTTCTCCTCCATTCTCCTCTCAGGATCTTGGGCATGCACGCACACGCGCCCGGCGTGAGTTTTAAGCCACTGGGTCCGGGACACGAACCACGGTTGACTACGTGGGAGTCCAGTGACATAGCCATTATGCTAACTGCTGGTTCCCAAATGGATGTTGGTTTTAAGCTACTAAATTTGTGCTAATGTATTACAGCAGCAATAGAAAATGCATATACATTGTCCAATGTTTCAAAATATATCTCTGAAGGGAACCAGCAGTTAGCATAATGGCTATGTCACTGGACTCCCACGTAGTCAACCGTGGTTCGTGTCCCGGACCCAGTGGCTTAAAACTCACGCCGGGCGCGTGTGCGTGCGTGCCCAAGATCCTGAGAGGAGAATGGAGGAGAAGGGATTGCGGCGTGACCATCCCCCCTGGGGGGTGATTTCTCGCTTTCTGTCTCTATGTCTCTCTCTGTCTGTCTGGCGAGTGCATGCGCCCTACAGTGAAAATCTCTCCAAAAAAAAAAAAATATGTATATATCTCTGAAGAAAATTTGCTGTTATGTCTTGAGTAAGAGACAACAGAAGGATTAAATGCATGGGGTTCGAGGTCAAATCGAACTGAAACTACATTTCAGATTTTTCACTAATTAGCTCTTTGCTTTGAGGAAAATTCTTTGATTTATCTGAGTACCAATCCCAAATCTATCAAACAGGGTAACAATAACTTTTTTGAGAGTTGGCTGTGCGTGTGTGAAGTAAGTACCATAACATATACGGACTTCTTAGAAACTACTAACTAATGCATTCTATTATTATTATTTCATATTTAGTGTATCAACTAGAAACAATACACTAAATATTTAAATAATAAGGCTTTAGAAAGAATAATATATTTAAAACCTAAGTAAACATGTTTTTTCCACTTCCTTATCTTCTCTCTTTCTCATCTTGATTTTGAATGGGTCAACTTCACCAGCAACAAACTCTGTTTTAGACCCAAAGTAAGGTACTCTTCCATGGATTTACATGATCTTGAAAGACTGAAGTGTCTGGGATCTCAGAGAAGAGGTGTCTGACCCATCTGAGTTCCCCTGAAAAAGGACTTTTTTTTTTTTTTTCTGTCTGCCTTTAGTTTGGCATAGTGTAGTAGGGTAAGGTAAAAAAATGCAGTGGGGCCACACTATAGCATAGTGATTAAGTGCTACACACGGGAAGCTGGATCCCACTTGGCTGACCAGGGCTCCATTCTTGGCCTCAGAGGCTTGAAAACCATGCTAGGTACCTGTGTGCCCAAGATATTGATGGGATGGAAAATGGAAGGAGAAAGAATTGCAGTGGGGGGACAGCTCTATAGCTTAGTACCTAAGGGAATCAGATCCTGCATGGCTAACCATAGTTCAACTCTTGGCTCTTGTGGTTTGAACAACATGCCAAGCACATGTGTGCACTCATACCCCCCAATCTCAGGATGACGTAGAAATGGAGTAGAAGGGATTGTGGCAAGACTGTACCTTTCTTTCTTTCTTTTTGGTTCTTGTTTTAAAGAGAGGTTTTTAACTATAGGATGTATGTACTTGCCAGAGAGACAGAGAGAGACAGAGACACCCAGGGAGAAAGATGATACAATAACTCCTTCTTCTCCATTCTCCTCTCAGGATCTTGCACATACATGCACAAGTGCCTGGCATGAGTTTTTCTTCTTCTTTTTTTAACTTTATTTATTTATTTATTTATTTACTGGTTTTCAAATTTGACCAGAGAGAGAGACAGAGTGAGAGAGAGAGTGACAGTGAGGAAGTTATCCGCCAGGTCTGGGATTCGGATTGCCATGTGGAAGTCTAGTGCCCCTAGCCACCATGCCACCTGCCGGCCTTCTCACCTGAGTTTTAAACCACTGGGTCTGGGACTCAAACCACAGTTGACTACATGGGAGTCCAGCGACATAACTACTATTATGCCATCCACCAGTCCTGGAAGATGAATTTTTTCTTTAAAAAAAAAAAGCAGAAAAAATGATTAAGGTACATTGCTTCCTAAAGTATATGAGCTACGAAGATCTAGGATCTAGGACAGGCAGCACGATTTCTTTAAAGGACAAGGCTTCCAAAACAGGTTGATATGGAACCCATGTGCTGTGCTTTACTTATAAAAGCTTACAAGGGCAATGCCAAAGGGCAGAGGATGACAACATTCAACCCCGTAAGCAGCAAAGGGGAGAGAAAACTGGATTTTTTTGCTCATCACACACATATCCGTTCTGTAAAAACTGTTGCATCAACCTCTTCATCAAAGCCCTGACTCGCCTGAGGCACCCTGAGGTCTAACAGCTTTCATGCCAGGAGATTCGTCAGAAAGGTACAGGGGCTAGGCCTTGTTATACTGACTCATTGAAATGAGAGATTAGGCCAATGACTTGAGAGGCATAGAGTTATAGTAATGCCTCCTTAAGTGATATTTCCATTTGTTTGTTGATTTGTTCATTTGATACAGAAAACATTAGCCTGGTTCCACAGCCTAGTGGTTGAGGGAGCTGGATTTCACATGGCCAGCCATTATTTAAATCCCATCCCCAACTCCTTGAAAAAAACATGCTTTGGGGACAGCAGTTGGCATAGTTGTTAAGGTATTGGACTCCCACATGGCCAACTGCAGTTTGAGTCCCAGACCGGCACCTTGAAACACACCGGGTGCGTGTGTGTGTGTGTGTGTGTGTGTGTGTGTGTGCGTGCCCAAAATCCCAAGAGAAAAATGGAGAAGAAAGGATTGCAGGATATCCACCTTCTGGGGGGATGATTTCTTGCCTCTTGTCTCTCTATGTCTCTCTGGCTAGTGCACAGAGAGATTTTTTTTTTTTTTTTTTGCCCTATAGCAAAAATCTCTCTCTCAAAAAAAAAAAAAAAAAAAAAAAAGACAAACATGTTGGATCTGTGTATGTACCTGTGCCAAAATCTGAACAGTATGAGAAATTGAGAAGAAGGAATTACAGCATCAGCTCTCCCCTTCGAGGGGTGTTTTCTCCCTCTTTTTCTCTGACTTTCTGTCTTTCTCTCTTTGGGGAATGCATGCACCCTCTGGGAAAAATAAAACAAAATAAAATAAAAAATAAAATAAAAAAATAATTTATTGAGAAGGTGCTCTATGTCTGGCACTGTGCTGAACACTACAGGGAAGCAGAGATGAACAAACAAGAAACAGCATCTATTGTCCACAAGGACTTTGTGGGTAATTACTGTGTTCTCAACAAAGCATATGCCCCCCACTCCAGGGTCAATGCCTGGAGATATTCTGGGTTGCCAGAACTGGGCTGGCAGTGGGTAGAGGGTGAGACTGTCATCCAGTGGAAGAAAGCCAGTGATGCTGCTCCACAAAGCCCAGGACAGTCACCTCAACAAGGAATTCTCCAGTCCAAGATGTCATGTATGCTGAGGTTACGTAACCATAACATAGAACGAGTCATGCAGGAACTCAAAGGGTCACTCAGGCGAAATGGACCGAGTGTAGGCAGAACATAGAACTGTCTGATCTCAAGATTTCATGTTGGGCAATTGACATGAGGTACAGATTTTCTTTGAAACCTTGATCCCAGAAATGTAGCAGAGGATGGAGAAAACTACTGGGAAAAAGGTAGGAAAGCAGAGCAGCACAGCTGCTCCTTGTAAACACCTCCCTGTGATGTAGCCCATGGTAGACTTCTACTTGGAGTTTATGCACTGACTGAATTTAAACTTGGAACACTGGAACACTTAGAGCCTCCTCGTCAGAATTCTTTCCTTTATCCCCATTTGTCAGGCCTCGTATAAACTCTTAGATTTCAGCAGCATAAACTTACATATCCTCTGAAGTGAAAATCTGTAATATACATGTATTTTTTTTCTTTTTTTTTTTTTTACCTTTTGTTTTTAACCCTAGGGAGCTTTTCTAATAAAATCGATCCATGCCCTGTGGACTGTGATCTAAATCTCTTAAAAGAAGACCATGAATTACACTCAAAGGTAAGATGAAGGCTGTAGACGTTGGCTTCAGAAAGATCATGAACACTGCAGTCCTGATTATTAACGATGATTTCTTAAAAAGGATTTTCAGGTAGAAAGTAATTTGGTCTTCAAAGTAGGTTTTGAAGTGTGGGACAGGCTGACATACCTGATGTTGAAGAAATTAGCAATGCCAATAAATGTTTACTACATCCGAATCAGCCTTCTTTAAGCTGTTAAAGATTTTAGTTAAAGTTATCAGACTAAGAGACTCTCACTGGCTTGGGCATGGCTGTTAGAAAATGTTCTGATTGGGCTGTGTTTCAGTGATTTATTTGGACTGACCATGGCTACCCTGAAGTCTGGATAGAAACTATCTTGATAAACTTATGTAAGCTAAGCAGCTTGGGTTTCTAAAATATTACTATCACTCATATTACTGGATCCTGTTTTTAGATACTCAATGATTTCTAAAATCAACATCTACCTAGATTGTCAATTTTCACTAATCAGAAAATTTAACCTGGCCTGAAAATGGAATGAAATGATTTGCCCTGCAACCTGGCCCTTTCTCATACAAGTTACTTGAATTGTCATAATTCTCCACCTTCCTGAAAAGTAAATATGTGTTTATGGAATCAGTTTTCATAATGTGCTCTCAAGATTGGCTTTAAAGTAATTCTTTTTTCTTTTCATCTCTAAATAGTGGACCACCATCTAATCGAATGAATGTCTATGTTTTTAAAGTCCAGATGATCACGTACAACATTTAAAATAGTGATAGTTTATTTATTTATCTATTATTGCCAGAGGCCACATGCACTCATTATAGTGAGACAGGTGGATGTGCAGTGTTCTCCAGTGGTGCATGGCCATGTTTCAATCCCTTCTCCTCTATTTCTCCATCCTGTAGGGAGTTTGAGCATGTAGACACATGTGCCTGGAATGGTTTTCAAGCTACCAGGGCCAGGATTTGAACCACAGATGGCCATATGGGATCTGGCTCCCTTAACCAGTAGGCTGCAGAGCTCACTACAGTTTACATCATAGTCTATACTAGGAAGAAAGGTCATGAGTGAACAGTTTAGTGATTTTTGTAGCAATGCAAGACAACATTCACTGGGTGTTAGAAAATGACTAGGCAAATACTCTCAGTCCTCTACATCAAAGGACTCACAGCCAACTAATGGGGTAGGCACTGCAATTCTCATCATCATGATCATTTTACAGATAAAATGAATATGTGGGAAGAAGTAAGAAAGCTCAAATTACATTTTTTAAAGAATTATTTTAAATTTTATTTATTATGTGTGCTCACTAGAGAAAAAGAAAGACAGACAGAGAGAGAGAGAGATAAAGAGAAAGTCACTAGGTCTGGTACTCAAACCGTGATCAGCTATGTGGGAGTCCAGTACCTTAACCATGCTGCCTGCGGGCCCCACTAAAACTGCATTTCTACTAAGTGTACACTTACATTTTAAACCCAGATGTCTGGTACTAGAATCCATATTTGTATTTATCATGGAACAATCTTTCCAGAAAAGATTTTAATTCCTTTCTTCTCCGAACTAGATACATACACACATACATACACACACACGGGTATTATAACCTCAATTTAAGTGTTATAATGTGGAAACAAAATGACAGTCTTCTAGGAAGATAAAAAAATTGGGTGAAGAAAACCTGTTAGGACATATTCTATGTTAGATATTTTTGTGTATTCTCTCTGAGAAACTGAAGAAAGGATATGTCCATGAGACTTTTAGGATACAATGGATCTAATATTAGCCTTTCAAATATTTTTGCAAAATTCTCATAACAGTTGTTTACCTTACATTTGAAATAAGAAGGTAGACTAGGACTTGCTCTGCAGCTCAGCACTAAGAGAGAGCTGGATCCCACACAGCTTCTGGCAGTTGAAATCCCAACCCCATTGTCTTGAAAACCATATTGAACACATGTGCATTCATGCCCCCAATCCTGACAGAATGGAGAAATGGAGGAGAGGAATTGTGGTGGATTCACTCTCTGTCTGACAAGTCATACATCCTTTTTCTTTTTCTTTCTTTCTTTTGCTTTTTTCTTTTTTTTTTAGAAAGCTATATAAATAGAGTGCGAATGAATACAGTAACTCTACAAACCTAACATTCTTTCCTATGTTGTCTCTGTTTAAATTTTAATTAAGGAATTCATTTTCATTTTAGTTTTAATACCATAGTCCACAAATTATGAGTTTATTGCTTGGGTGAGTAAGTTCTTTCCTAGATTTTAGTCACACTGGAAAGGTATCTTAACTCTGAATCACTTCTAAAAACAGTATGTGCATGCTGGGTAGATGGCTCAGTAATGTCAGTGCTGTGGGGAGACAGAGCCAGAAACACACCAGATTGTAAGGGAATGAGTTGAAGAGCGAGGGTAGTTAGGTAACTTTCTAAACCAAGATGGACCACACACTTGACAATAGATAGTCTCAGTCTGAGACTCTAGACTCCACTTTAAGCTTTTTATTTTTTTTCTTATCTTCTCATAGTACCAGAAATTACTTTAGAACCTCAATTGATATTAAAGACTCTAACCTAGGCAATTTGTAGTGACTGTGGAAACATGAGATTCATGTTGAACTTTAAATGTGAAGCCTAAGTTTGTCAAATGTAAGTGATCAAAGGACAATCTGAATTTGTGATCCCAAGTGACCAGGATGCTACCTGTCCTCAGGTGGGCAGAAACAGGAGCCCTGGAAGGGAAGGGGTAGTGAGTTAGTTGAGGGGCCTTTCCAGTTAAATTTTGAGCTCCCATGCAGCCAAGGAGTTCAGTAATAGAAAGGTAAAATTCCCTGGTAAAAACATCAGACATAACATTTTATAAAGAGAAACAGTATTCTGCTGGATGGTCTTAGGATTTAGATTGGGTTTAATTTGGAGGGGTGTGTATGTGGATGATAATAATAGCTGTGATGGAAATGAACATGATGTCATATTTATGTGCTTTGATATATCAGATGCACCTGGTATTTGTTGTTGTTATCTATGATTTATAATTCTGTGATCTTATTAACTCAAGCCTCTTAGCAGAACACCTCCACCCCAAACCTTATTCCTCTTCCTCCCTTCTCAAAAATGAGTGTCAGTGGGGCCAGCATTAAAGCTTCCCTGGCTGCTCACTTCTGATCTTCCCAGGGCAGTTCAAAAGCATCTGTAATCCTCAGGATTCAGCCCTTTATTCACTGTTTCCTCTTTCTGAGGCTTTCTTTTGATGGAAACAATCCCCTCCTGCTCTTCATTGGGCCAGATGGGCAGGTGAACGATTCTACTGAGACCCACACAAAGACCTTGGAAGGAGTGTGGGGAAGAAATCCTAGGGCTAAGTGGAGCTTAACTGTGCTGCCATGGTAATGCCTCCTCACTGCTCCTGTGTTGCTGGCCTGTGAACTGCATTCTCTGTCCACACAGACTTCTCCTCTCTCTGATTCTATCATCCTCGCCCTTCTCCTTGAACCAATGGGCTCATGAGAGGAATGTGGTCAAGAGACAGAAACCTGAATATTGTTATACAGGGACCCTGAGGTTGCTTCTTCCCATACAGCATAATTAAATAGACTTAAATCTGTCATAAACTCAGGGGGGAGTCCAGCACCTCAACAACTGCACCACCTGCTTTTTCTTTTAATAAAAAAAGACCTTAGTGAGAGACGCTGGAATGTGAAATAATCATTTCAATGCAAATGTCATGGCTGACTATGCTTCATTATAAGGGGTGCTAGTATGGGCCATTCTGAGGAAAATGTTCATGGAACCAAGTCTACTTTCTATCTGTTATTAATAATATACTTCCTTTTTTCATTCACTAATTTTTCTAACAAGGGAGATAGCCCAACTGATCACTCTGTAAAGCAAAAATCATCTGTTTGGAGAGCCAGAAAACACGAAGATTATCCACAGGACACATCTTACCTGGAGGAATTAGAGAAACACCGATTTTCAGTTTGGTAAGTGATTATATGCTCTACTTTTATTTTCAAATTTAAGTTCATTACAGTCAAAGAGTCTTTATTCCTTCTATTCTTTTATTATTTATTTATTCAACAAATGATGGTTGTATGCTATTGTAGGCTATGCAATATGCACCCTTGGGAAAGTTCATGGTCCAATGAGGAATTTAAATATTTAAAAAAATCAATATGTTGTGATAACATATTTTTTCCCCAGCAAGTGCTACATGTATGCATGTAAAAAAATGATAGACAAATTTGCTTGAGAATGGTGATGGGTTCTTCGAATAAATTGGGGCCAAGTCTTGGGGAAAAGACTATAGTGAAGGAATGGTGATAGAATGGTAGAAAAGTGGAAAGAGTCCAGACGTGGACTTGAGATAGTAGCTAAAGTGAATACATGCTGGATCCCTTTGTTTCCTTAAGAGCTAAACAGATCATAATTATTGCTCTCTCCACCTGGCGGCAGGTATGAGTGTATCTGCTTATGCAAATGCACCTATAACAAATGTAAAAAAGTTGTAAACAAATGGACAATGAAGCTGATCAGAGGTACCAAGTATAGGACATTACAGTGGTGATATCCAACAGTTGTGGTGGGAAGAACAATAACATCACAGGAAGTAACCTAAGGAAGAAGAAACAAAAGCTAGTCAAATCCATCCATTTCGACTCACTCCAAGATTAACTTTATGAATGTTTTTTCACTGGGCATTCATCTGCCCTATGACTTGGTCCATCCTGAAACTGCTGATATTATGAAGAACATAGGATCAGCTTAAAGTCCTTTGCCTAGCTATTTTATTTTTAACTTATTTTTGAATAAGAGTGTCTTACTATCATGATCCCCTGCCTCAGTCGTCTGAATCCCTAGGCTTACAAACTCTCAGACTCATACTCAAACTTCAGACTGGATTGGGAATCAAACCTTGGCCTTCCATGTGGTCCCAGCCCATGGGGCACAGTGTCTTAGCAGTGAGTGCCACTATACTCAGGCCCCTTGCAACATTTTTTACAACTCTTACTTATTTTATTGTTTTCCTAAGGGTGTGTGTGCTCACCAGAGAAAGGCAGAGATAGAGACAGTGAGAGAAGGTGAGAAATCACTCACGAGAAGATGGTCATGCTCCCATCCCCTCTCCTTCCTTCTCCTCCTATGATTTTGGACATACACACACATGTGTTTGGTGTGATTTAGAAGCCACTGGGTACGGGATTTGGACTGTGGTCAATCATGTGGGAGTCCAGTTATGTGGTTACTACGCCATCTGTTGTCCCTACTTGTATTTAAATTTAGAGGTCTAAATACTTCCACCAATGTTTTAATAAAGCAGGTGTAGTGTGGTCTCCAGGCTAAAAAATTCATTGTTTTCTGAACCCAGAGAAGCAGATCTGTCTGCAAGATACAGCTGGTAGAAAGATGATTCAAAGAACCCAGAAGACAAGAAACGTATGCTTCTTCTAGAAAAAAAAAAATTATACAAGAGATGCTATCTTCAAATAAGAAAAAGACATGCTCCCTGTTCTTTAGTAACTCTCAGACTGGGATAGTTTCTAAGGGGAGGGTGACACATACATATTAGATTTAATTCAGTAAAGTCACTGTAGGAACAGTTACCGAGTGTTTTCGACGGCATGTAGACAAGAGAGCTGGAACTTCCGTTGGGCTGCTTCCTATGTTCTGCCTCCTATTTGAGGTTCGCCAGACTGGAGAACAGGCTCCATTAAATTCTCAGGCTTCCAGTGCCTGCATTTTACCTATTTCCTATGATGAGTCATCTTCTGGTTGCCTTTTAGGAATGACCTTTCCATGTCCGACGTATGCATTGTCATGATACAATTCTTATTTTGCATGGAGTTAAAAGATGGATAGTCTTTCAAGTTTTAAAGTTTCCTTTATTTCTTTTGTGAGAGAGACTGAGAAAAGGAGAGAAAGAAAGAGGTAGAGAAAGAGAGAGAGAGAGAGAGAGAGAGAGAGAGAGAGAGAGAGAGAGAGAAAATTAACCTCAAATGGTCTCGTACTTCAGTCTCCCAACCCAGCCCTTGAGCTGCTAGGATCACAGGTACGCACTCAAGTCCCCAGTGTGTACAGGTAGACTCAGAAACCAAACCTGGATCTTCCATATGGCTTCCAGCATTACTGAGCTACCCCAATTGGTCCCCAAACTAAAGGGTATCCAAGGATCTCAGAGCTTCAGTTCATGATCAGTCTTTTAAGATACATCTCCCAGACATTGTCCTTCAACAGGCTCCACCAATACACTCAGTTTATCCCAGCCACTGGCAACTACAGCTCTTAGGCCAAATCTTGTCCTCTCTCTGATTTTGTCAATAAAATTTAGTTGGAACCCAGATATACCATTTTGTTACACATTGTCTTTGGCTATTCTCTCTATAATGGCAGAATTGAGTCATTAAGACAAAGATGATATGACCTACAGAGGCATCCCTTCTCCATCTTTCCCTTTTTCTGGGATTTTGGGCACAGGTGTGCACCCAGCCTAAAATATACTTTCTTAACAACCTTCAAGTACACAATACATTATTACTAACTGTAGCCACCAAGTTGTATGATAGCTTTTTTTGAGCTTGCTCCTCTTGTCTAACTGAAATTGAGTTTCTTTGACCACCATCTTGCCAGCCTCCCAACTCCCAGGGTCTGGTCACCAGAAGGCATAGTGTTCAATAGGTATTTGTTGAAAAAAGCAAAGAAGTTAAAAGAAGTGAAAGGGTCTACTCCATTGGAGACAGATTGACCTGAGCATAAATTCCAGTTTTGCCTCTGCTGTTCAAACTTGAACAATTTATTTGAACTCTCTGAGGTTACTTTTTTCTGTATCAAGCTAGACTAATAATACCTGTCTTGCGAAAATTGATGGTTCTTGTGAAAGCTGAGAGGTAATCTACATAAGATGTCTTATGTAATGATCAGAAAATAAAGATTCATAGCAAAGGCAACTACTATTATTAACATGAATAATAATAAGTTGTAAGAAACTCTCTTGCCCAAAGTTTAAAATAGAAGGAAGATGTGACTCTAGAATAATTTCTCATTTTCTACATCTGCTTTTCTTTTCATTCTTCAGAAACACAGAGTGCTTTGTGGCCTTTGCACTTCATAGCTTCTTTGTCTAAAATGTGTCCCCTGTTTTCAGTGATGTGGTTGACTATACGTATTTCAGTTCTTCATATTGGTTTTCCCTCCCCTGAAAAGTCTTTCTTGACTGTCTTACAGGACCTATCCTGTAAAATCTTATAAGACTCATTTCTATGCTAGTTATTTACTTTCTCATCACCTTATTTGTTTCCTTTGAAGTACTTAGCACAATTTGGAATAATCTTTTATATTTACTTTGCTTATTTATTTCTATTCTCATTACACAGAAGCTAGAGGTAAGAACCCCCATGTTCTGGTCACTGCTGGGTCACCAGGCTCTAGCACTAGAGTACCTGGTATGTAATATGACCAATAAAAACTTATCAAATTTATGAATAAAAGAATGGTAGAATTATCACTAATTTATCTCTTTTTCTCCCTCTGTCTTTCCCCAAGCCCCTTGGTTGTGGTACCTATTCATTTACTTCCGGTCTCTTCCTTCACTTGAAATTGCTACCATTTTTTTTTTAAAAAGGTAATATGAGATATTAACCACTATACACATTTCTTTTTAAACCAGGGTTGAGAATATGGAGGCTGCTGAGAGCTCTATAAACTTGTTTTAAATGGTCTGAGATACAATCTGAACAATTTCCTTGATGTTTTATTAGAGCTGGTAAATCATTTATTGGTGCAGCCTTTACCTAAACCCTCTCCAAATCCCCATAAAATGCATTTAACACAGAATACTGTACTACCCAGCTTCAAAGATACATGCGGGGTCTTCAAAAAGTTTATGGAAAATGTGCATTATGAGAAAACAATGTATGGCCTTCAAAAGTTTTTTTGTGCCAAAAGATACTCATATTTTAATTCCATTTTCCTTGGAGGAGTTTGAATTCTCCTTGTATATGTCTTGGGGTAGGAAGGATTTGCTCCTTTGCAGCAAATTATAATGTGTATATTATTATTTCTTCTTTCTGTCTTGTATACCATCTCATGCCTCTCTCCCCCTTGCCCCAGCTCCTCATTGAATATGCTAATTTGGTAACTATGGTAGATTGTGAAAGCTTCAGTTAATCCCAGGTTTCAGTATCTGTTTTTCAATAGGTGGGAACTTCTGCTAGTCAAAGGCAAGTTCATCTTGTTTGTAGCCTCCAATAAGTTTTGTTTGTTTGTTTGTTTTGAAGAGGGTTTTGCTATAGGGTGCGTGCGTTCACCAGAAAGACAGGGAGAGACAGAGAGACAGAAAGCGAGTCGGCCACAGTTCAAGTCCCAAACTTGGTGGCTTAAACTCAGGCCAGATGCGTGTGCGTGCATGCTCAAGATCCCAAGAGGAGAATGGAGAAGGGATTGCAGCGTGGCCATCCCCCCTGGGGGGTGATTTCTCACTTTTTGTCTCTCTGTCTCTCTCTGTCTTTCTGGTGAGCACACATGCCATATAGCAAAAACCTTTCCAAACAAATAAACAAACAAAAACAAAATATTTATTTGTTGAATTAATATATGAAAATAGTGTAAAACAATAATATTGTAAAAATAGTGTAAAACAATAATATTGACATTTCCAGAGAAAGTTACAGAGGAAAGATAAATGGTGCAAAACTTGAGATGCCTTTAGACATGCTGGCCAGTTTATCTTTGGTGGCTAGCATTTCTTTCTGTTGGACATTTCTTTCCCCAGAGTTTCTTCACTTTCTGTCTTTGCTAATCATAGCCCTCCCTACCCCATGCAGACACACATACATACATCAAAGGATTCGTTGTGGGATGTGTGATATTTCTGTGACTATTACAATGGGCCTGGATGAAAAGATAGTCTAAACCAGGCCACTCAAGCCCTTTTTGTGACCTACAAATAGAAATTCTTTTCTCCAAGGTCTTAAGCTGGAATGATTTC